AATACAAAAGTATATTACTGGCGATATAAAATACAAAAGTATATTACTGGCGACGAATGCTCACAGACGCAATCACAATGCGCTACAACCCATATTGAGTAACAGGGGATACAAATACAAAAACATAATTGCACCCCTAATGATTGGTACATCGACCAACATGGCGGGCAGAGGTTTAGCCACACAGCGTACTATGATATTGAATGATAATGCGATCGACTATGTTCACTGGGACGATCCCAACGAGCTGGTGAATCGTCTGCGATTGCTGGAAGCCTCTCGACAAGCTGGCAATAACGCTCACGGTAATGAAATTTTATCCATTATCGAGGAACTTCGCGAGGCGGGCCTTGTTATAAATTGAATCGCACATCGATGATGCGCGTTGTTTGCATCGAAATGTCGATCAATAAATTTGGTGTTTCGCTCCAAAAGAGAGGACCGCCGACGATGGACTATTACACGTGGAGAGGAGTACTCAGAAATTACGTACGCGATAACACTTTGTGCATGGTCGCCTCCGACTTTGATGCGAGGTCGCGCAAGATACGACGCGTAGCGCAACCGGAAGCCGACAGTGACGCCGTCAATAGACTCTACGTGGAAAGAGGTCTCGCTGCATTGAGAGAGCAACAGCAAGAATTTGAAAAGAAACAGGAGGAATTTGAAAAAAACCTGATCAGACTTCATGCTGAAACACGTGCCATATGGGAGAAAGTGTTTGCAGCGCGTTGAATAGATGGAATTTAAAACGATGCGCTCGCAGTTTCGTCATTCGTGATGAGGCGATCAAACATGCGGAAAACTGGTGGAGACGGGAAACAACACAGCCCCGAAAAGCAACGGTTGGTGGAGGAGTTGCATGCTCCTGCGAGAAGACATTTTCCTCGTAGACGCGTCATTGTGCGTGGATACGATGATCTGTGGCAGGCCGATGTAGTGGAGATGCGTCCGTATTCGCGGCTCAACAGTGGCTACCACTACATACTCACCGTTATCGATGTGCTGAGCAAGCATGCTTGGGTCATGCCGCTAAAGACTAAGAGCGGAAAGGAGATGGTCGAGGCGTTCGGCAAGATAATTCGAGACAGCGGAAGATGTCCAACAAATTTGCAAACAGACCGGGGGAAGGAATTTTACAATACCGATGTGCAGAGACTCACGAAGAAACACAACATCAATCACTATTCGACGTATTCAGTTATGAAGGCTTCCGTCGTGGAACGATTCAATCGTACGCTGAAGAATGACATGTGGAAAATGTTTACATTACAAGGAACGTACAGATGGATCGACTCGCTACCACATCTCGTGTTGCAGTACAACGAGCGCAAGCACCGGACCATCGGAATGCGTCCTGTCGATGTGACCCCTACGATCGCTAAAAAACTCCTCGATACGGTCTACAGCAACGTAAAGATTGCAGCTCCAGCGAGATTCAAAGTGGATGATCCGGTGCGCGTGAGCAAGTTCAAGACTGTCTTTGCTAAAGGCTACACGCCCAATTGGACTACTGAGGTGTTTAAGATCGTCAAGGTGCAGGCGACCAATCCTGTGACTTATCTGCTCGAAGATTCTCGCGGACAGCCTATAGTCGGAGGTTTCTACGAGTACGAACTGCATCGTGTTGCCAATCCAAACGTGTACTTGGTGGAAAAAGTGTTGTGCAGAAAAGATGATAAGGTTTATGTAAAATGGTTGGGATTCGATAAATCATGCAACTCATGGATACATAAGGATAATGTGTTGTAAAAATAACTGTTTATTGTATGTAATACATAAAATATATTCTATTTACAAAATTATTATATGTAATACATAAATTATATTCTATTTACACATAAAATTATTATACATATGTAATACATAAAATATATTCTATTTAAAATATACGATTTATATTCTATTTATAATGGTATTTTATAATGCCCCCATGGTAACGTTTCAGTCGAATCGGGTACGATATACCGTTTGTCATCGTACGGACTTAGAGCAATTTTCGTCTCAGACACTGTGTACACTTCATGCAATTTTGATCGTATGCACGATTGACGACGAGTCGTTTCGATCTCCTCTCGCAAACACTGTACGTAATCATCGAAAGATATCGTTCGCGCTACAACATTACTCTTGACACCTTTGACCTTTTTCGTGTCTTTCTTGCCATCCACTCGCAAAGCGTACATCTTTGCCCTAAGTCCGATAAATTCCGTCATGATCGCTCCGTTGTTTTCATCTTTCATTAAACCAGGCACCTTCTTATTTACAAGCGGTATATCGTACGCGTTGTCAGTAGGATAATCGCTCGTATCAAACCTTGCAATATCACGTTTCATGTGCTCATATACATCATCGCATTCGATGTTGTAAATGAGACTGTCTGTGTCAGTATACATTATTTTACATTTGTCACGATACAGAGGATACATGTACTCGTGATGAAATTCATACAAGCAAACCTTTGATATGTCGAGTATGCACATACCCACGTAGATTGGCTTGTTGAATTTCACCTCGAGTTTGCGCAATTCAATGGCGATTAAGTTTTCCGAAAATACACTTCTACTGTGAAAATTTGGTTTTGCGATCATTGCCTCTGCACCGTATCTACCGTCCCAATGTGTTACTAGTTTTACATCGACATGATTTCGAATATTTTCCATCGTTTTGCCGAATACCGCATTGTTCATCAATTTGTACAAATTTTTCTCAAAATCATTAGTTGCACGCGTTCTAAATTGCGTGTTTAATTCGATATAACTGCGGAGCCAGGGAGATTGAGCGAATTGGAGCACGCGGTGAATCTTTGTAATACGAAGACCGTGGCGCGTGCACTGCTGCAGGTTGCGGTAGTGGATAATATAACGCTGCTTATCGTATAACGTCGCGAGAAGTTTCTCCTGACGCTTGCCGGGTGGCTTATCGCGCATAGGACAAAACGGTAGGTCAGTGTGCACATCGTGCAAATTTTGCGGATACTCCAAGTCGACCTCGAGAATGTATCCTGTGGGCGAATCGTCAGCGACTGAGAATACGTCAAAGTTTGACACGTTGTCGATCCATCGAAACTCGGCGTAAGGCAATGGTTGACACATTGCCCATCCATACAAATTATTTACGTCAAAGTACATTAAGTACGACGATGGTTTCGACGCGTCGTAAGACTGCATGTACTTGTTATTGGCGTGTGCGTATCTATCCGAACATTGACTCAGGCCACCGCGTATACCGCGTTCGATGAACATGATCATATCAATATCGGTGAGCAGTTCGAAATTTATACCGGTATGTTTCAACATTGCATCCCACGTAAATCCAGGCAGAGTATAATAATGCGCGGGATCGAGTCCATAACTTGTGATGCAGCTGTCGCGGAAATTTTCAAAAATATCTGCCAATAACAAGACATCAGTCTTTAAATACAAGTCGCTGTATTCGCCCAAGGTTCGAGTGGAGAACCGCTTCCAGATCTCCGCGGCGTGCGCGTAATCGCTCTCGGATACTGTATCACCCGTCAACGAACTGTAAAACGATTCTCGCGGCGGTAAACATGTGTTCTGCAGCTTGTCCACGCAATCCACGTATTCGTATGGAAAGACACCCTTTCGCGTCAATAAATTAAATTCTTCGACGGATAATTTTGGAAATTCCGAACGTACAATTTTCAACTTGTCTTTAGTGAGAAAGCATGCCAATTTATCGAGACTACTGCTGAGAAATTTGCACGAATCGATGAAACGCAATTTTACAACATTTTTGTATTTATCTGCCGTATCTTGAACATTCTTTGTAAACGAAATGTATTTTTCTTTTGTTATCGGTAGCACATCGATTGAACCTTCAAATGCATTTGCTATTTCCTTGATGATAAAATGTGAATCGTAGCCGGATAAATTATGGAAAACGATTGGAATGTAATATGAATTTTTGTAATTTAAATATATGTATAATAAATTTTTATTATAATGCTACATTTAATACATAATAATATATAATAATAGTAATTATTATAATTTTATTTATAATTATTACTCTAATTTAATTTATTATAATTACGCCTTCCTCTTCGCTATCGGCGATATCTATTATTTCTATATTATCCTCCTCCTCCTCATCGAAGTCGGCGATATCAATGTCGTCCTCCTCCTCCTCCTCAGATGAGGATATGTCGATAGCTTCTATATTTTCTGAAATCAAATTTAAAAATTAATTTTAACGCTTTTCTGCACAGAAAAATCGAAAATTTGATGTCAAATTGTAAAAAATATTGTCTGCTCTCTCTTACCATTGGTCGACTGTACATCTATCTCATTCTCATCGCCGTCGGATGATTCAGGATCATATGCGTCATGATCATCTAAAATCATATTTAAAGATTAATTTTAAAGTTTATGTTCTATACAGAAACATGAAATTTGCACGTAAACTTACGTAAAATTTCTCTCAACCACTCCATGTATATTCTGGTCATATTTTGGTCTTCCTCGAACATTGCTAAAATTGAGTCAATTCTTATTTAAAAAATATAAATAATCAAGGTTATCATTATTATTATTATAATACAATTTATTAAAAACTTACGTGAAGGGTTTGATAGCCAAACCATCTCCTCGGGTTGACATCTACAGTATTCTACTGTGTAGAACATTGTAACTCGCAATTCAAACTTGAACTATTTGCTGGTGACTCCTGGGTGACTTTTATATGGTTCATCGCTATCTCTTTGTAACAAATATGTCTCGTTAGGAGAGGATGGCAAATGTGCAAAATCAGCCTAACGTAATAGTAACATCATATGTGTCACATACAGTCAACCGCATCCTCACATTGATGTATCAGCACATTAGTTGACCACAAATTGGTGTGTTAGCACAAAAATGCTACATTGTGATGCATAAGAGCGAGATCTTACATGAATACTTA